CGGCTGCGGGCCGCGGGGCGCCGCCTTATCCAGGAACCCCGGGAGGGAGGAGCGGCGGCGGGCGCCCCGGATTGGCTGGGCCTCCCCTTCTCCCACCTCCTGGAAAGTGCGGCGCCCGAGCGGAGCGGAACCGGTCGTCGCGTGCGGGCTCGGCGGCCGAGGAGGTCCGGGGTCGAGGCGGGGCCCACCCTCGGCAAGTTTGGCCCCTAATTTCCGTAGCGCCCGGCCTCTGGGTCAGGCTCGGCCCGGCGGCTCCAGAAAACAAAGATGCTGGCAACGCATTCTTGCGCTCTGATTGGCTGCCCGACTTCTTAAGTCATTTGTTTGTGCAGCGAATGTATCAACCTTGCTGGGACCACGGGCCCCTGAAGTGAGGCGGCCTCCACCCCGGCAGCTCCGCCGGCACCGGAGAGGGAGTGCCCGCCCTTACCCCTTGCTACCCGGGGTTGGGGGGAACTCCCTCTTTATTTAAATCGGGATTCGTGGAAGGAAGGACCCTTCCCTTTCCTCTTCCCAGAGACAGGAGGGCGATGGAAAAGGGAGTGTTAAGTTTGCAGGTGTTCGCGCCCCGCGCTGCGGGAAGGGTGGGCAGGGGGAGCGGTGGATGGGCTGAGAAGCTGCCAGGGTCAGGGAAACCTCTTTAGGAGGAGAGTGAACTCTCCGTGTGCATTATAGCCAGTGGCCTGGTAAAGTGCTTCCACTATACCTATTTCAGGAACTTGACTGGAGGATTTAATTAGCTAATAGTATAAAAAGAAAAATAATAGGGGGGGGAGGGGCGACAATATTGTTATTGATGTGAGACCAGACTTGAAATGCTGAGGTTAAGACATTACCTAAGAATTGTATAATAATTTTAAGACAAAAGTTCAGCTTCTAATCTTACATCATAATGGCTTCTAGGTGCTTCCCTTTTCCCTCTTCTACAGCTTAAATCCCCTCATTTTACCTACTGAAAGGTCAGTTTCATATGAATAATCTTAATTGATTATAATGAACAAATCTGCTTCCCTGTTTCTGATTATTTTGTATTCTTCTGCACACACTAAAAGTTTCAACACCATGCTGTACTTAGAAGTGTGACTAAAGCATAGTGAGCCCTCTTTATTTGCTCTGTAATCCATTCTGTTTTCTATAAACAAATGATGCCAGGAGGCTGTGCTAACTTTCAAATCTACTTTGCTCTAGTATTATTTTGCCACGATTTTCATAAGTCATTTTATTATTATTATTTTTTTAATTTATCTTTATTGTTGAGAGTATTACAGGTGTCCCTTTTTTCCCCCCAATTGACCGCCTCCACTTCGCTCCCACCCCCTCCCCAGGTCTTCACCCTGTTATTAACTNATTTTCATAAGTCATTTTATTATTATTATTTTTTAAATTTATCTTTATTGTTGAGAGTATTACAGGTGTCCCTTTTTTCCCCCCAATTGACCGCCTCCACTTCGCTCCCACCCCCTCCCCAGGTCTTCACCCTGTTATTAACTGTGTCCATGGGTTATGCATATGTGCATATAACTTCTTTGGTTAATCTCTTCCCACCCTCCAGCCCCCTTCCCTCTTCCCTCTGAAATATGATCGTCTGTTGCATGCATCAGTGTCTCTGGATCTATTTAGTTTGTCAGATTCTTTTGTTCATTAACTTCTTCTTAAAGAAGACTCTTCAACTTTTCCTATAGTGCTGGTCTGGTGGCGATGAACTCCTTTAGCTTTTTCTTATCTGTGAAGCTCTTTATTTGACCTTCAATTCTAAATGATAACTTTGCTGGGTAGAGCAATCTTGGTTGTAGTTCCATGTTTTTCATCACTTTGAATATTTTTTGCCACTCCCTTCTGGCCTGCAAAGTTTCTTTTGAGAAATCAGCTGACAGTCGTATGGATGCTCCCTTGTAGGTAACTAATTGCTTTTCTCTTGCTGCTTTTAAGATTCTCTCTTTGTCTTTAACCTTAGGCATTTTAATTATGATGTGTCTTGGTGTGGGCCTCTTTGGGTTCCTCTTGTTTGGGACCCTCTGTGCTTCCTGGACTTGTAAGACGATTTCTTTCCCAGGTAGGGGAAGTTTTCTGTAATTATTTTTTCAAATAGGTTTTCAATTCCTTGGTCTCTTTCTTCCCCTCTGGCACCCCAATAATATGAATGTTGAGCCTTTTGAAGTTGTCCCAGGGGCTCCTTATACTATTTTCATATTTCTGGATTCTTTTTTCTTTTTGCTCTTCTGGTTGGGTGTTTTTTGTTTCCTCATGTTCCAAATTGCTGATTTGATTCTCAGCGTCCTCTACTCTACTGTTGATTCCCTGTAAATTATTCTTCATTTCAGTTCCTGTAGCCTTCATTTCAAATTGGTACTTTATTATGTTATCGATTTTCTCAGTTATTTCCCTAATAGTCTGCTTAAACATCCTTATAAACAAAATTCTGAACTCTGTATCTGTTAGCTTGCTTGGATCTATTTCATTTAGTTCCTCTTCTAGAGATTTCTTCTGTTCTTTCCTTTGTGACATGTTTCTTTGCCTCCACATTTTGGCTGCTTCCAGGTGTTTGTTTCTATGTATTAGGTAGAGCTGCTATGTCTCCTGGAATTTGTAGAGTGGCTTTGTGTAGTAGGTGTCCTGTAGGGTCCAGTGGCTCAGCCTCCCCAGTCACCTGAGCTGGGCCTTCTAGGTGCTCCCCTGTGTGGGCTGTGTGCACTGTCCTGTTGTAGTTGAGCCTTGGTTGCTGTTGGCGTCACTGGGAGGAACTGACCCCCAGGCCAATCAGCTGTGAGGACCAGCTGCAACTACAGCTAAAGAGCTGCTGTGCTGGAGACATCCCTATGGAGCAGGATTTACTTCAGTGGAGCTTTGGTGTTCACCAAGTGCGCCCCTTGAGTGTGTCACTTGTGGATGTGGTAGGGTTGTAATCCAGCGTGGTCGAGTCTGACCACCAGGTGCACTGTCTCTGGGGCCTCTAGGGAGGTGCAAAGTCAGCCTGTGCCAGTGCCTTGCCCAAGGCCATCCAGCATGAGCTACACAGCAAACCGTAGTTGGCTGCTACTTGTGCTGNTGAGCCAATGCAGGCTGCTGCTAGTGCCAGGCCTGGGGCCACTTATCAAGCTGTATGGGGCCCACTGCTGCTTGTTTGAGAGATTTTAGAAAAGTCCTAAGCATGAGGCTGGAGAGGCCACTTGCAGAGAAACGCCGGTGGAAATGGCCTGGATGAGCTGCAGGTGGGGAGGGGCGGGGCCTCCGG